GTGTGAGTAGTGGTAGGGGTGGGTAGGGGGTAAGGAAAGAATCCCACACAGACTCCACACAGAGCACAGAGCCCAATGTGGGGCTCCATTCCACTCTGCCAGATCACAATCCCAGCTGAAACCAAAGTCTGATGCCCAACCAATTGAGCCACCTGGGCACCCCTAAATTGAATATTTTCTTAATGCCAAAAGATAATCTTCAGTCAATTGCTTGAATTTACTGTGCAAATATAAAATCAGACATCATACTTACAATGTTAGTGAATTAGTATATTCACTAAGTAAAATAAGCTAAGAGTTTCCAAAGAAGAAGTGGAAAGAATATGAGACATAAAAACCCAGGAATAAGTATTTGTGGAGCATTTTGGCAAATGAGAAACTGGAGTATTATAGGGAATGAGAGAATTGGGGAAGACAAGAAAAGAGACATATCTGAACAAATGTAATTTATCCCCAAACTACCTGATTGGTTTTAACACTCATAAATCATTCAATATAAATTACCTTACCACTTTAATAGAACAAAGAAGAAAAGACAAATTATTATTCAGCCTTCCAAAATTCCAATCTCTGTTTTCTTAGTGGGACTACCATGTTCCTCTTGGGCTCTTCCTCTTCCTGTATTGCAGCTGGAAAGTACCTCTAGGCATAAAGCCAGGACTATTCTAATGCTCATCTCATTTGTTTTCATTCTCTTAGGGATCAAGTTTCTGTGCTGTATCTTGTCTAATGCCCCAAATCTTTGCCTCATATATTTTGTCCAGTTTTCTAGTTGTTACAGTAGGAGGATAAGTCTAATTCCAGACACTCTCTTATGATCAAATAATTACATTTTCAAAAAACTGCTGTACCTGCCAAGTAGAATAGGTTGTGGAAAAGTATGCATTATAGACACGGAAATCAATAAGGAAGCTAGCATAGCAAGCTGGTGGTTTGGATTTGGAAGGTAGTAGTGGAAATGGAAAGTAGACCAATGAAGCATGTTTTTCAATTGGAGTTACAGCATTAAGTAAGGTATAGGTATAGGAAAGGGGAGGAAAGAAGTATCAAGGATGAAGTCTAGATAGATGTTGGTGCCATAATGTAACGTCGAAGATATCAGGAGGAACAGTTTTGAGTGATTTGGAAGGATGGACTACTAACTCTTTCCCCTTCTGCTGCGTCTCTAGTATTTCACTGCTCATTCTCCAATTCTGCCTCACAAAAGTCCAACAAATTATTTGGTAGTGGGACACCTGGGTGACTCAGTGGTTGAGCATATGCCTTTGGCTCAGGTCGTGATCCTGGGGTCCTGCGATTGAGACTAGCATCAGGCTCCCCACCGGAAGCCTGCTTCTCCGTTTGTCTCTGCCTCTCTCTCTTTTTTTCTCTCATGAATAGATGAATAAAATCTTTAAAAAACAAAATTATTTGATAGAAACTCTTTTTTGAGCTAGTGTGAGGGCATGGAGAGTGAGAAAGGAAGTGACAGTCATATCTTTTTATTTAGCCCATGCATGTGGGATTAAAAACATAATTGATCTATACAAGGAATGAGTTCTTAAGGACCCTGCCTATGTCCAAAATGATAATATATATCACCTTGGATTGTATATCTAAAGCCATGAATAAAGGAAAAGACACAGTTGGTACATAGAGTATAAAACACAAGGATCTCGGGCAGCCCGGGTGGCTCAGTGGTTTATTTAGCACTGCCTTCAGCCCAGGGCCTGATCCTGGAGACCCAGGATGGAGTCTCACGTCAGGCTCCCTGCATGGAGCCTCCTTCTCCCTCTGCCTGTGTCTCTGTCTCTGTCTCTCTCTCTCTCTGTGTCTCTCATGAATAAATAAATAAAGTCTTAAAAAAAAAAAAACAAAAACCACAAGGATCTCTGGTAGAAAAGATAACAACAAAGATCAAACATAATTTTTATAAGAAGGAAATCATTCTTATTCAGTTTCTTGCTAAATAATCACTTCTATCACCTCTTAAAATTAGTTCTTATCCTTTCAGTAGAAACATAATAAGGTATAGTTCAAGCTTATAATGATTCTACTTCCCTCGGGACAACAGAAGCCCTTGGAAGTCTACAGAGGTTGATCTTCATACAAGTCAACATCCTGTCTGAGCTCAGAATCCCACTCTATTGGCTATGCAGGACTGGCCCAAAGGAATGCACCCAAACCCCATGGAGCCAATCAAATTCCTGGGGAACCTAGAATTTAGAATTGGTGTGCAGAGATGATAAAATAAGTTAATGTAAATGAAGAAACTAAAACACAACTGTAACATGTAGGCTTAGGAACTACAGTGCAAGAAGAGTAGGGCTTTTTCCATATAGACTAGAGAAGCAGAAAAGATAGATATGCAGAAAAAAAAGAGAATGGAACAGATACTAAGAGAGAAGTAGAGATAAAAAGTTTAAAAAGCAAAGATAAAGGAAGTCTTAACACCTTTCCAATTCCTGGCTTCATTCCCTTTCTGAGTCTTTGAGTTGCCTGAGATATCCCGGTATCTTTGTAAGAACACTTTCCATTTTTGCTCAGACTAACTGAAGAAGGCTTCTATTACTTAAAAGCTAAGATTCTTGATTCAAACACATTTCGATTAAACACATTAAAACATATCTTGGGCAGCCCCAGTGGCGAAGCGGTTTAGTGCCGCCTGCAGCCCAGGGTGTGATCCTGGGGACCCGGAATCAAGTCCCACATCAGGCTCCTTGCATGGAGCCTGCTTCTCCCTCTGTCTCAGCATCTCTCTTTCTCTGTGTGTCTATCATGAATAAATAAAATCTTTAAAAAAACATATCTTGATTAAAATACATTTCTCCTATACCAGATTATAAGTTGAGTATAGTACAAATTAATTTGATTGGTTAACTGATTAATTTGGGAATACGATTTGCATTATATAAACCATTATTGGTTTCTATAAGGGGAAAAACTCTTGCACTGACAAGAATGTAACCGGTATATGTTAAGGCAGGAGGTAGCATGGTATTTGAGGAAAGGGAAAAATCTAGGGATTCGAGAATCCTTCGATAGTAGTATCTTCCGGCTCCTCAGGCCTCCTGAGCCATGGCCTTTGCTTGTCCTCTTCACTGCCCTGCTAGCATTCAGCTAGAAAATCTGCTGTTGAGGAAATCATAGTCTGGTCTTTCTAATTTGGTTAGAGCCCCGTGGCTTTCCTGGCTGACTCAAGCTAACCCCAGCTCTCATTAGGCTAAGACTATGCTGGGACTTCCATCAATGTCTCCTGAGTCCTAACTAAGTCAAACAGAAACTGAGGGAAGCTCAGCAAAGCTGAAACTCAAAGTCTGTCCCATAGCATATTGCCCCAACAATTTTCTCTGATGTATCTGGATGCTTGTCCTGGAAGGCAAGTAGTCCAGTCAGTAGTGGGATGGGCAGTGAGGCGGTTTGCCCAGAAACCCACATGGAAAACCAGGTGAGATCCTTACTTATCTAACACAGAGAGTATACACCTGTGATTGCTTTTGCTGTTCTCCATCTTACAATTTCTTATGGCTACATCTGACATGAGCTATGACTAGGTCTTTAATCTTTCAGAGTCCTTCAGCCAAACCTAACTATCCTAAGTGGAAGGAGTAGTAGTAGCATCTAAATGGTTAATGCTTGGACTCTGGCATCAGCCTTCCAGATTTTGAATTCTGGTCACTCCCTTCTTAGATCTATAACCTTAGGTAGGTTTCTGTAACATGTCTGTGTCAGTTTTTCCATGTGTTAAAATACAGGTTGCTAATAGTATCCTCCTCAGAGAGTTATAATTAAAGAGCTCCACAACAGTGATTGATACATATTAAGTGCTCAATAAATGTAAGTTATTTTTGTTATATCATTACCTTAGTCCTCAGGCCTCATAATTTAAATGAAACTGCTTTAATTTCCTTTAACAATATAAAATCAGATATCATACTGATAATTGTTTCAGGGAAAAATCTTTGTACCAGATTGTTATCATTGTTATATTCTGCTTTCCATTAAAGTTCAACAACATGATAACAAAAGCCTTAACGATAGTGGCATTTAACATTTATCGACCATTTACTATGCGTGTGGTTCTAAGCTAAACATTTCATATCCATTAGTTTTTTTTTTTAAGATTTTCTTTATTTATTCATGAGAATACACAGAGAGGAGGGAGAGAGAGGCAGAGACACAGGCAGAGGGAGAAGCAGGCTCCATGCAGGGAGCCAGATGTGGGACTTGATCCCGGGTCTCCAGGATCAGGCCCTGGGCTGAAGGCGGCGCTAAACCGCTGAGCCACCCGGGCTGCCCCATGCCCATTAGTTTAATTAATTTTCGCAACCACCTTTTCAAGTAGGTATTATTATTATCCCCATAGTAGGCTTCTAAGATTTAGGCTATAAAGAAAACAAATTTAAAACTTGTTAGCTTGTTCTTAACTATGTAAAAGGTTTTCTTTTTTCTTTTTAATTTGGCAAAGTAGGGGTTCTTATCTTCTGTTGGAATTTTCTTGTTTGATACATTAGATTTTTTTTAAAGAGCTATAAACAGACCTAAGTAAATAAATAATAGCTGTTTCAAATGAGGTTTAATTTATGTATATGCTGAAACATTATTAGGAATTTCTAATGATTTTTCAAGGACAAGTTGGATCTTACAATTCAAGCTTTCAAAAACAACTTGATTTTTTTTTTAAGGTTTTATTTATTTATTCATGAGAGACACTGAGAGGGAGAAGCAGGCTCCCTGAAGGGAGCCCAATGCAGGACTCATCCAAGATCCCCAGATCACACCCCAAGCGGAGAAAGCAGACGCTCAATTGCTGAGCCACCCAGGCGTCCCAACAACTTGATTTTAAACAGAATACTTAACCTGTTCAAGAAGGTTTGTAAAGGAACTCAAGAAACATGAACTTTTATTTTTTTCTCAATAAATTTTTGACATTTATCTACACGTTATATGGTATACAATTTTACCAATGAAAATACTAATAATTATTTCATATAAAATACTCTTTGTACTTTCACAATTACCTGTTAAGAAGACTCTCTACTTCTTGAACTTCTGCTATGGGCTCTTCATTATCAGAAAGGAGACGAGCTTGAAATTTTCTGTCTTGGAAATCATACAGCATCACAATAATAAGACTGCTCAAGTGATCTGGCTACCAAGGGGAAACACACATAAAGAAAAGTATACAAACAATATTTAATAGCAATATTTTCCATTCCACTATTTTTTCATAGTCTGGTTGTATTGAGAGACAAAGAAGGACTTCCAAATAGAAAAAAAAAAATCCAGTAAAAAAAATAAACCTTTTCAAAGAGACAATTTTTGCTATGTCATCACAATCAAAGTACTAGGATCAGAACTGGAAGTAGGAAAGAGTTCAGGATGTGTTTTGAAGAGGCCTCAGCATCAAGTAAACTAGTTTTTATTTTAATCTAAAGGCTTGTTAGTACTTTCCTTTTTTTTTAATTTTTTTTCTTTTATTTTTATGATAGTCACAGAGAGAGAGAGAGAGAGAGGCAGAGGGAGAGGCAGGCTCCATGCACCGGGAGCCTGACGTGGGATTCAATCCCGGGTCTCCAGGATCGCGCCCTGGGCCAAAGGCAGGTGCCAAACCGCTGCGCCACCCAGGGATCCCTTGTTAGTACTTTCTAAATAACAATCATGAGACAGCTAATGATGTAAAAGTTGTCTACTTACTATTGTGGTACTTGGGAAGATATAGCTATCTATTAATATTGTTTCCAAAATATCTTGAACTGCAAGACAAGGAAAAAAATCTGTTACTGAAAATACCAAAAATGAAAAAGGAAACTTTGGAATCAAAATATACTTTAGACAATACCACCAACTGTTTTTACTTTCATATCTAAAATATTTCAATTCTTGACAAAGACTCACATGATGAATACTTGTCATCTTTTTGAATCCGGAACCCTTAGGATCTAGGTTCCACACAAAATCCTAGTCAAAGGAGCATTTTTGGAATAGTTAAAGCAGTAATAAAAGAATTCCAACCTTTAGTTCATATCCTTTATAAAACATTAAAGAGGATCTAATTTAAATGTCATCATTTTTATATGGCTGGATTGATTTGGTAATATTTTATTTAGTTTTGTTCCATGTTATGCTCAAGAGATATCGGTCTATCATTTTCTTTTCTCGTAATATCCTTATCAATGTTGGTATCAGGGTTATACTGGCCTTGTAAAGTAAGAGGGAAGTGTTCCCTCTTCCTACATTCTTTCAAAGAGTTTGTCATAGGCCAGTATTATTTCTTACTGAAATATCTGGTAGGACTCACTGGTGAAGACATTGATGCCATTTAATCTAAGACCCAAATGACAAGGAGTTAGCCATGGAAAGATCTGGGAGGAGAGAGCATTCTAGGCAGAGATAATTGCAAAGGTACAAGGTGGAAACAAGCAGACATATTGAAAAAGCTCCACGGGGTACATGAATGTTCCTTTTGTTACATCATGTGACAAATGCTTTATATGCACGGTACACACTGAATTTCAGTTTTTTATCTGGGAGATGGGAAAACTAAAAAGAAGTTTTAGACTAATAGAGCACAGACTCTAACTTTCATAGGAAATCCTTTGGAAATCATTATCCATATTTGAGCCACCAATTATGGTTGTATTATATAAGGCAACATTTCACTTACAGGGAAAATAAGGTTTAGTTTTACACCTAAGTACGTGAAAACCAATTCCTATCTACTTCATAGGTGTTCAGCATGGGTCCCATTTCATCAGAGAAAATAGAGTCCTCATAACAATGAAGGAGTTCTAAGGGAGCAGACCTGCACAGGTCACAGAATTTTCAGCAACGGAAGTGTTTCACTCCTTCTTAGGATACAGTGAAACACTCCTATTTCCTAAGAGGGAGTGAAACACTCCTATTTCCTAAGAAATAGAAGAGGCAGAATGAAATAATGATGATTTTGCCAACATTGCATTTTTCCTTTTAGGGCTCTTGTCAAAACTGGTAACATTGTTGGGCTGCCTTTGATGCTGTGCAGAATGCATCACCTTTGTGTATCTACAATTTACATAACATTCTCATGTAGTAATGCCAACATTAATAGTACCTGTATACTTTAGATAGTGCTTCCTATGTGCTATCCCTTGTTCTAAGTGCTTTTCATATGTTCACTGAACTCTCATGACAACCCTATGAATTAGGTATCTATCATCATTATCTCTATTTTATTGATTAGGAGATGAGGAAAAGAATATGGTTAAGTACTATGTTCGTAATCACACACCAAATGGCAAATCAAGGGTTTCAGACCCAGACAGTTTGGCACCACAGTGTCTGCTCTTTACCACAACATTATGCGGCCTTTCTTCATCTTCCTCTTCTAACAAACCAGAGTGGCTAAACAAAACACATTGCTAGTGACTAATTTGAGTTATCAGGATTTACTTGATTGCAAACCCTGCATATCCTACCGGTATGGCCCAATAACTTGCATTATTCCCTGTTCCCAACTAATTAAAAGCCTGTTCTCTTTAATGTGTTGAAGAGAACTCTTCATCCCCATTCTTCAGGTTTTCAACATGGAGGGGTCTTCCCCGGAGAAACACCCTCTGCCAGTGTGTCTGTGGAGGTGCAGTAGAGAGATCTACACTTCTTCACAGGTTAGATGAGAAAGTATTTGGTAGATAGTATTTGCAAACCTCTGGACTAGAGATCTAAAGCCATGTCCCCGAACACCTTTTCTTTTCTCGCTCTCTCAGTTGGTTTCAAAATCAAATGTGAAGGCAGAGCACTATTTATTGGAACGCTATGATTCACATAGCCCATCTTGTCATCTCTCCGGCTCTGGAAGAAAGATGGAAGTTGTCCCTTCTTTTGATTCTCCTCTAGGTTCTCCCTCTTTTATTGTAATTATGTTTTCATGGAGTTTCCTTCATGTGAGGGATCTCTAGAATCTTCACCTCAAGAATGTCAAGGGCCTCATATAATTATATATAATACAGTTGGTTCAGTTTGTGTGGGTGTGGAAGGAGAGAAACAATAAAACTATTTAAGGCTTTTTTGGCAAAACTAGAAAGAATAGCCACTAACATTCTGAAAGAATATTTGAGAAACATAAATACTAGGGGAAGGAAGCTGGCATCACCAAATACAAAATCATTGTATAATTAAAACAACACACCATGGAACCCTAAAAAACCCTAAAAAAAACCCTAAAAAACATGGATTAGGGATGGGGTTGCTATTCACTTTCCAACCAGATGAAACATCTCCTCTTTTTAACCTTCTTTCTGCTAGTTCCTTAGGTACATCATTTAATCTCTTCTTGAGCTTCTCTCAATTTTTCCATCTGCAAAATCAGAATCTTACATCTCAAAGGACTGGTATATCAAATGACAAAGTGTTCTTTTAATTACAAAGAGCTATGTAAATATAAGGTATTATTATTGTCATTCAAGAAAATTGCTTTAACCTCTTCCATGAAACCAAAGCTTAAAAGGTTATTGATCTATATCATTTTTCTAATGAATGCAATCAAGAATTAACTCAGCAGGCGGGGCGGGGCTCAGTCCACTAAGCCTTCCACTCTTGATTTCGCCTCTGATCCTCATCTCAGGTTCCTGGGATCAAGCCTTAGCCCTGCATCAGGCTCCATGCTCATTGGAGAGTCTGCTTCTCTCCCTCTGCCCCTCTCCCAATTTGGACACGTATGTGGGCACACAAGCTCTCTCTCTGTCTCTCTCTCTCTCAAATAAATACATAAATAAATATCCTTTAAAAATTTATTATTATTATTATTATTATTAATTTACTCATGAGAGACACAGAGAGAAAGAGAGAGAGGCAGAGACACAGGCAGAGGGAGAAGCAGGCTCCTTGCAGGGAGCCCGATGCAAGGCTTGATCCCAGGTCTCCAGGATCACGCCCTGGACTAAAGGCAGCACTAAACCACTGAGCCACCCGGGCTGCCCTCTTTAAAAAAAAAAAAAAAAAAATTAACTCAGCAGGCCTGAGTGGCCAAACCTTGAACATTCCAAGGAAAGATATGGCCCTCCAAGCTCCTGGGAAATAACCTCTATAAGCCTTTGAAATATCTTGCCTGATGAAAGTGTCCTTGTGTACATGGGCGTTGGGCAAAACAGCATCAGTGTGGCCTCTGGAAGAGCTAGAGATTGAGTAAGGTCAGCCACAAGAGCACTCCTTATCTAAATGACTGATCCCAATAAACATTGTGGACAGCAAGGCTTGAATGAACTTCCCTATACTTCAATACTACCTTCTACATACTGCAATACTTCATTCACATTGTCGTACATTGTTGCTAAGAGAATTAAGCATTGTCCATGGACTCCATTGGAAAAGAACAATAAGAAACTTATATCAGGTCTCCTCTAGTATGTTTATATACATACATATATATAAATTTATATATTTATAAATATAAAAAGGTTATGTACTTTTTTCTAGTGTTGATTTTAAATAACCTCCACTGTAATACACTATACCCATGAATATAATAGCTTTGCTAAATTCTGTGAGTCCTTCCAGTGAATCATTGACCCTGAGGGTGTTCCTGGGCACCCCATCTAAAATTACTAATTCCCAAAGCCATAACCAAAATATACATTAAGCATTTACTAGGTTTTTCAGACCGAGTTAGAAGATTCTGAAATGAGCAGATTAATGCCACAGACAGTTCCTGGGACTGAAAGTTCACCAACTATTATATATACCTAGAAAGGCTGGAGAAAGAATGAAGTCAGGAATAAGATCAATAATTTCAGGGAAATCTTCAAGTGTTCTTTTTTCTTTATGGTTCATCAGTCTATTTCTTTTTTTTTTTTTCAAGATTTTATTTATTTATTCATGAAAGACAAAGAGAAAGAGGCAAAGACATAGGCAGAGAGAGAAGCAGGCTCCTCATGGGGAGCCTAATGTGGGACTTGATCCCAGGACCCCGAGACCACAACCTGAGCCCAAGGAAGACGCTCAACCGCTGAGCCATCCAGGAGTCCCCATCAGTTTATTTCTTAAGAAATTGTTTTCCAGATTTTCTTCTTTAATATTTAGAATTCCTTGAAACATCCAGAGATTCTTTGAAAAAACAAATTAGCTGCTAGTACTCTACTTCTTTGACAAAAGTAAAACTTAAAAGGAATAGGCTACTCTTCATTACCTTATTTAACAAAAAATTGACTTTGGGGCTATTTAGAAAAGCAGGAGTAGTGGTTGTCTTCATCTTAAAAAAAACAGACTGATGGGCAGCCGGGTTGGCTCAGTGGTTTGGCGTCGCCTTCAGCTCAGGGCCTGATCCTAGAGACCTGGGATCGAGTCCCACATCGGGCTCCCTGCCTGGAGCCTGCTTCTCCCTCTGCCTGTGTCTCTGCCTCTCTGTCTCTCTTTGTGTCTCTCATGAATAAGTAAGTAAAATCTTAAAAAAAAAAAAAAAAAAAAAAAGACTGAGCCTTTACACCTTTAAAAGGTTAATCAGATAAATACACATTCTGCTTTGAAAGAGCTTATACACAAAGGACATCAACAAAAGAGCAAACAATAAAACTGAAAACCTTACAATACAACCAAAGGAATATACTTAACATTTATATAATTAAAGGAACTTCCTGTCATTTTTTCCTTCTCCTTGTACTTCCACAGGAAAAGGTAATATGATCTAAATCATCTATTCACAAATTCACCAATAAAAGGGACCATTACCCAAGCTCTCTTTAGTTTGTACATTAACCTTTTCAGCTTTATTGCTCTTATAAAACCATAGAGAAAAAAAATCCTGAATTTTCTTTTCTGTACTGTGATTCCCTGAACCTATACTGTAGAAGCCAAATGTGAGTTTATAAAATACCATGTGAAAGTATTGGTAGAACACTGATAATACACAAGATAAAAGTGAAATGCACAGAGCATCCCATATTTTAAAGAAAAATATCAGGCTCTTAATTATCTTGGAAACCTAATGCATTTAGAAATTCTGTTTTCATTCTATTTGAACATTCAGAAATTATTCAGATAATAATTTAAGCAAGATAGTTTCCTTATAAGAAGAAAATAATATTTGTACCAAGTAAACAACCAAAAACATTTTATTTTAGTATTTGCCCTTATATCAGAATTAGAATTTTAAAAATGAACATTTCAAGCAAAAGCAGGTTTATAAAGGCCTATGACAGTACTTTATCTGACTGGGATTTTCTGGGTCATTAAAAAATATCAAATAATCACAAGGCCCTTCATAAAAAGAAATAAAGACTGAGAAAGATAATCTAGTACATATATCACTATAGCATAACCATCTAGTTAATGCATTAAATTTATATAGAATAATTTCAAGTTTTTAATATTGACTTTTAAAGGTAGGATTCAATATTCCATTAGGAAAACAAATGGTCTATAATAGAATTTTGGCATTAACATTAAATACCAGCTAATTAACATAGATGCCCAGTCTGCCTTTCACTGTTGCAAAGAGAAAAAGATGTAAAAATGTTCTTTTGACTCATGATTTAAAAGCACACCTTGGTCTTGAAAACTACATTTTTAAAAGCAAATGGAAGGAACGGATGAAACAATCTGAAAGATTACACTGGAAAAGAAAAATGGTAAATGGTTAAGGCATTAAAAAAAAAAAAGCAAGAGAAAAGAAATAAAAACTAAAGAGAAATTGCTTCTTAACATCAAATTTTCTTCCTTGTTGATAAACTCCTGGCCCTAGAGTTGAGCTGTATCATGTCTGGAGACTACCAAAAATATATATTCACGTCTCAGTAATTAATGGGACATTTAGTTCAACTGAACAATTGTTAACTGCGTATGTGCAATGATGAAGAAGGCCCAATACATACTAATACCAAGGAAATACATGAAAATTAGTGTTGCCCTTTCAAGCTGTCTCTTTAGCAAGGCACAGGCTCATTTCAGCCATGCTGCTAATAGTCTAAATATTTCCAGAACTTCTTTTTTGGAACTATATTCAGTCAGTTTACAAATCAATGTAAACATTAATATAATATAGTACAATATATTACAAATTATAAAGTTTATCACCAGTACAAAAACAAACATCTCCAGGGACACCTGGGTGGTTCCGTGGTTGAGCGGCTGCCTTCGGCTCAGGTCATGACCCTGGGGTCCTGGGATGAGTCCCGCATGGGGCACCTCGGAGGGAGCCTGCTTCTCCCTCTATGTCTCCGCCTCTGTGTCTCTCAAGAATAAATAAAATCTTTAAGAAACGAAACAACACCTCCAGACCCTTTTGACTGTTGCTCTTACCAGCTCCCAAACTTCAGGCTACTGGCTTTGAATGGGATCATCTTAAGGGGGGGGGGGGTGTTTGATTTAATTTTGATATTCATTTTTAGTATGTTGTACCTTTCCTTCTTATTCCATCTCTGTTCCTCTCCCCCACCCTCTTACTGGTTTCTACGTTTGTGAAAGTCTATACACTAATATACAAGGTGTAAACACAGAGCACAGAAAATGCAAAGAAATAACCCCAGGAGAAGGAATGCGTACTTGGCTACTTCAGTGGATTCCTAATGCTTCCTGTTAATGAAATGGTTTCCTTGTTCCATTTAAGGACTGTGCATTACATCTATCTAAGGACGGGCACCGTGCTAGGCCCGAGCAAATCTGCAGTTGGGGGGGGGGGGCAAAAAACAAAAAAAAAACAAAAAAAACCACAGTTCTGGCCCTGAAAGAGCTTATTCCTTTCCTGGAACTCTCCGAATTCCTTGACATTTGCAACTGACCAGATATACCTGTGCGTAAAAACAAAACCTGGCGTGCAGGAGGGGGGCTGCACGCCACGGATTCTCTCATTATCTTCCTGTAAGCGCTGATCTTTTTTTTTTTTTTAAGACTTTTATTTATTTATTAGAGAGAGAGAGAGAGAGAGAGAGAGGCAGAGACACAGGCAGGGGGAGCAGCAGGCCCCACGCAGGGAGCCCGATGCAGGACCCGATCCCCGGTCTCCGGGGTCGCGCCCTGCCCTGGGCCGAAGGCGGCGCTAAGCCGCCGGGCCGCCGGGGCCGCCGGGGCGCCGAGCCTTGGGACTGGCGCTACTCACACTTCAGGGCGCTGAAAGCCAGCTCGTAGGACGAACGCTGCAAGGATTCATCCTCCGACTCGGGCAAGGACCGCAAGGGTTCATCCCCGTACTTGATTAAGACGTGCTCCGGTGACTTTTCGAACCGAATACCCTGGAAAATGTTCGCTGCCGTAACGTAGACGGAGTCGGGGAAGCCCGTGCTCTCGGCCGCCCCGGCGGAGCCTGTGTCGCTGCGCGCGGCGCGGGCGGGCAGCGCCGGGTCCTCCGCGCGGGGCTCGCGGGCCGAGCCCAGCTCGCCGGGGCCGCGGGGCACGGCCGCCCCCGCGCCTGCCCGCGGCGACGCCAGGCTCAGCTACCACGCCGAGGCTCCACGGAACCGTCTTCCTTGCGCCTTGAGCATCGCGTCTGTGGAAACAAGCGGTGATCCCGGTAAGTCCCCGCGGAGGCGGGACCCACCTGGCCGCCCGACTCCGTCGCGGCGCGCAAGGCGGAGGCGGGGCAGGTGGCACCTGCGGGCGGCCCCGAGCGTCGCGGAGGGGCGGGGGCGCGCAGGGCGCAGGCGGCTGGGGAGTCGCCTCCCGAGCCGCCCTTCCCGGGGCCCGTCGGGGGTGGCGCTCCCCCCGCCCGCCCCACGACGCCCCTTACCCCAGGCGGCGGCGGTCTGCCGGGGCTTCGGGGGACGGGGACGCGGCGGCCGCGCTCGGGGCTCCGGGGCTGCGGTCGGAACGGCGCCCTCGGGGCCGCGCGAAGGCAGTTGGGTTCCGAGGCGGCCTCGCCCGCCGGCCTGGTTCGGGGCCGGGGCGGTGGCGGCCTCCGGCGCTCGCTTCGCTCGGGTTCCCGAAGGCGGGGCGCGCCGTCGGGCCTCTCCGTGTGTCCTGCGCGGCGGCCCCGGCGGACGCGGCGGCGGAGCGCGGTGGAGCGCGGCGCGGGGGGACCGCGGCTCAGGCCGCGCCGAGGGTCGGTCGGTCGGTCGGTCGGCCGGCCGCGCGGGGACCCGCGTCTCCATGGCAACCGGACGCCGCTCGAGGGCAGTTCCCGCGGGATTTGGCCGGCGAGCGGCTCCGCCCGGGTCCGAGTTCCGAGACACCTGTTCCCGCCCCGGCTGGGGGCCCGACCGAGAGCCTTTGCGCGCTTGGCCCGCCCGCGCCCCGGGTCCCCGACTCTCCCGGGAGCTCGGGCTTCCCCTCCTCCCGGACGCGTCCGGGGCGCTCTCCTCGGAAGCAAGAGTTCTGTGTCGCTGACGGCACCCGCCTTGGCGCCTGGGGCGCTGCCAGCGCTCCGACAGGAAGAGTAGAGAGCTCCCGAAACAAAACAGACAAACAAAAAAAAGGCGGGGTGGGGGGAAAGACGAGCCTGCTTTATTTCCGTACTTTTTAGGACGACGAATATCATGCACTCTTCCAGGGCGACCTGGGTAAACGTCTTTGCCAACTTAAGGCCAAGTCCCTCCTTTCCAGGAATTGCCTGCAAAGAAAGACTTGGCTGAACTGGACCGACAGACTATCAGATTAACCTCGCTGCATCCCCCAATGATAGCATGCAAGTGGGAGCAAATACAGACCCCCCCCCCAAAAAAAAGGGTTTTAATACGGCTTCTTTAATTTTTTTTAATAGCAAGTTTTTTTTTATTGGTGTTCAATTTGCCAACATACAGAATAACACCCAGTGCCCATCCCGTCAAGTGCCCCCCTTAGTGCCCGTCACCCCAGTCACCCCCACCCCCCGCCCTCCTCCCTCGGGCTTCTTTAATTTTTGAGTCCACCTAGGGAACTCCTTCCTACTCAGTCTTTGAAAACTCAGTGCAAACATTGCCTCTATAAATCCTTCCTGATGCTTGTATCAGAATATAAATTTAGCCACTGGAACAGAGACCCAGAAGAACCCATTGGCTTCAACAGAGCAAGTTTATTTCTCACCTAAAGTCCTGTTGGCACAGGGACTCTCCTCCACAAAGTTGTCAGGGACCCCACCCCTATTTTACGGGGCATGTGAGGGCTTTGCCCTTGTCAGTTTAGTCCAGGGTGGCTAACCGCCAGGTCCATCGCCAGCCAGGGGTTGAGGAACTAGAGGAAAGGGAGGGCATGCTCATTCCTTTTTCAGGGACATAACCTGAAAGGTGCGCGCATCTCTTGGCCAGAACTCAGTCACATGGCATACCTAACAGCAGAAAGGGTTGGCCTATGTGTCCATCTAGAAATCAAGGGAACTATCGCTATGGAAGAAGGGGAGGATCAGTATGGGGAAATGATTAGCAGTCTCTGCTACAAACCTCTGTCTCCCACCCCTTCATCCACTAGTGTACTCAACTTCCATTATTCCCAGAATCTCAAGTGTTGCCTCTTCTATGTCCCCATAACATGTTTTTTTAATCTTTTTTTTAATTTTTGTTTATTTATTATAGTCAGAGAGAGAGAGAGAGAGAGAGAGAGAGAGAGAGAGAGCAGAGACACAGGCAGAGGGAGAAGCAGGCTCCATGCACCGGGAGCCCGATGTGGGATTCGATCCCGGGTCTCCAGGATCAGGCCCTGGGCCAAAGGCAGGCGCTAAACCCCTGCGCCACCCAGGTATCCTGCCATAACACTTTCTACATGCATGCATGCATTCCATCCATAAAGTTAACAAATAAACATTAAATTCTTACCATGTATCTGGCACTATGCTCAGCCCTGGAAGCAATAATGAATGTATGGAAATGATCAGGCACCTTACCCTCAAGAAATTAATGAATAGATGTACATTAGCACCCTTCAATTTGTATTATAAATATTTGTGAGCATACTGTATTCCTCCTCCTTCTCCCACCTCCCTACCATGTAGCCCATAAAACACACACTCTTGGGCAGTCCCAGTGGCTCAGCGATTTAGCGCCACCTTCAGCCCAGGGCCTGATCCTGGAGAGCCCGGATCAAGTCCCTGCATGGAGCCTGCTTCTTTCTCCCTCTGCCTGTGTCTCTGCCTCTCTCTCTCTCTCTCTCTCTCTCTGTGTGTGTGTCTCTCATGAATAAATAAATAAAATCTTAAAAAAAAATTAAAAAAACACTCAAATACTTTTATTAACTCGTTTTATTTTTATTATATGTAATATTATTTTATTCCCAGATATTAGTAAAATATCATTGTCACACACACACACACATGCACAGAAGATTACAAATATGAAGATGCCTTAGGGGTCGGGTCATGATACATTTCATTATGCATCACACGGTACACAGTACAATCTGCTGAAAATGTGAGGCAAAGCTAGCTATCAACTTTAAAGTACTATTAGTCTTTCAAAATGTAACTGAGGAGCCTCTTATTTTTCCAAGATAGGTCAATGTAAGAGACAACTCACGATATTGAAAATGAAACTTAATGAGATTCTCTATCCCCAAAGTAAAGCTTAAGCAAAGAGTTGTCCGGGGAGTGAGTTCGTAGTTACTGTTTGTTCTAATTGTGTGTATAATCCTCTTTACCTCTTACTTCTGCTTAATGGTCTCATTGTGGACTTAAATCTCGGGGAGGACGGTACAAAAGTCGCCGTAGAGATAGTTGTGTGGATTCAACTGTTGTGAAAGCAGGGCAGTAAAAAATGTGGTCTTTGTTTAAGTCCCTCTTTGTAATATGACCAGAACATTAAATCAGAAATAGTGTAGAAAATTAAAAGTTAGTTACCTGGAGCTTTCTACCAAAAGAACTTAGAGGAGTGATTTTCTTTCCCCAGGGGGTAGAGTATTTGAAATATTTGTAAATTAACATTCCTTGCATTTGACTCAGAGTAACTAGTGTAAAGTAGGTATTTAAAATACATTATCTCACTTGCTTCAAGTTAATCCAGGCCTATAAACTGTGCTCAGCTTCATTGAAGCTTATTATAGAAATATAAAAAAGCGTATGAAACATAAAGAATTTTATTTTATTTTTTTAAAGATTTTTATTTATTTATTTATTTGACACAGAGTGAGCACAAGCAGGGGGAGCTCCAGGCAGATGAAGAGGGAGAAGCCAACTTCCCACTGAGCAGGGAGCCCAATGCAGGCTCCATCCCAAGACTGGTATCATGACTTGAGTTGAAGGCAGACCCTTAATGGACTGAGCCACCCAGTTGCACCAAAACATAAAGAATTTTAACTTGTGTTTTTAAACACAAAACTCAATTTATAATTATTGCCATTTAAAAATAAGTCTATTTTCTCTGCAATATTTTTTTCCTTATTCTTTTGTATTTTATAAAGATACCTAGTGTTCCATTGTGGACCTAAGCTATACCTAACTAGGAACTTTGGGGTACAAGGGCAGTATTAGGAGCCCTATTTGTCTGAGGATCCTCAGAACCTCATGGGTAAACTGCATCTGGTTACTGATGGTCAGGTACTGAAATATTCTATCCCAGAGGAGAAGAGGGTGATGAATGTCCCAAAAGACAGGAAACTACTCACTTTGAGGTGGATAAATAGCATCCTCTGATGCTGGGTGAGAGTTGGTATGAAGGAATACTTCGCATATCTTAGAGGGTAGCATTACTCAAGTGTCCTCTTGCCCAGTCCCTGTGGAAACTTGTCGCAAATAACTTGAAATGGTAAGATGATAATGCAAAGATCACTTTGGGAAAATCAAAATATGATTGTGGTTCTTTAACACAAGCCCATCAAAGATAACCAAAAGAGCTATAATCATTTGAAAAGGAGGGGGAAAATCTTTCTTAATTAAGAAGCAGCAGACAACTGGGATGGAGCGGAGTCCTGAATGGTGAGGCAAGTGGAGAGGAACAAAAGTCCAAACCATAGCAGTTCATAAACGGCATCCTTAGAAGCAATATTCTGAAATTTAAAAGCCAAATATGCCAACAACTAAGGAAGAGTTGGAGTTACCTGGGGTGCAACAGGGAAAGAGGTTCAGGAGGTCTACTATTGGGGCACCTGGGTGGCTCAGTCGTTTGAGCTTCTTCCTTCAGCTTGGGTCATGATCTCAGGGTCCTAAGATCCAGCCCCACATTGGGCTCCCTGCTCAGTGGAGAGTCTGCTTTTCCCTCTGCTCTGTCTCTCCCCACTGCTCATGCTCTCTCTGTCAAATAAATAAATAAAACCTTAAAGAAAAGAGGTTCATTTTCCCAGGATTGATTACCTTTGGTGGCCCCGGAGAAAAGAGGTTACAATAGACAATCATCATAATAGATTGCAACAACACAGTAGTTTTCCAGATGTGGTCATTCAAGTACCACTTTTGTGGGTGATTTTTCCACATCCATATACTACTATCCATACTATTTTCTCAATTTTTTAAAAAAAATCAAGATCACAGCTTTACTTTAATAGAAATCTGTGAATGGAAAATCAGCATCATTTGACATAAATGAAAATAATCACAATGAAAGCAAAATAATACTATTAAATTCTAGCTAGAAACAGTGTACCAGCACTCCAGGCCTAATGTTGACTGCTCTCAGCTAAAAAGGAAGATGAGGGGCGGCCCAGATGGCTCAGTGGTTTAGTGCTGCCTTCAGCCCAGGGTGTGATCCTGGAGGCCCGGGATCAAGTCCCACGTCAGGCTCCCCACATGGAGTCTGCTTCTCCCTCTGCCTGTGTCTCTGCCTCTCTCTCTCTCTCTCTCTCTCTCTCTTTCTAATAAATAAATAAAATTTTTAAAAAATAAAAATAAAAAATAAAAAGGAAGATGGGCAATGTTAGAGAGGTGTTAAACACGAGCCCAAAAATGAGATTTTCTCCTTGTCAGAAGGCTCAAAAGAGCCTTGGATAAAGCAGCTTTCTGTTATGTATTTGTTATTCAATACTAATTCAGGATATCACTTTAAATCATCTCCCATACCTTTGATGGTGCTGGCTCTGCACTGAAGAAACTCTGTGTCAAGAAATTTGAATTCAAGCATTAGAGGAAAAATGCTTCTTCTGACACAAGAGGTAGAAAATACAAGAAATTCATAACTGGCAAGAAAGACATTGGAAGGGGCACCTGGGTGGCTCAGTGGTAAAGCCTTTGGTTCAGGGTGTGATCCCGGGGTCCTGGGATTGAGTCCTGCATCAAGCTCCCAGCAAGGAGCCTGCTTCTGCCTCTGCCTATGTCTCTGCCTCTCTCTCTCTGTATCTCTCAGGAATAAATAAATAAAATCTTAAAAAAAAAAAAAAGAAAGACATTAGAAGGATCTTGTGTCACAAATGAACTCAGTCTGCTTACATGGCACAGTGGTAGTGGGAACTTTGAAACTAGATAGAATTAAAAAGAAAAAAAAACTAGGTATAATTAGAAGACCAGTTTTTTAGTCCTAATGTTGTCATGAATTAGTTACATAACCCCCGGC